ATTAAAGGCCAGAAGCAAACTTGGGTTTAGTCCAGAGCGTTCTCGGAGAGATGTCTGCATCCCAACACTGATCTTGCCCTTAAAAACAAAATAAAACTGCTAGGATTCTAGTCGGTGGTGAGCAGTTGCCAGCCCCTGTAGTGTCCTTTGAGGGCAATTTGGTGAATTTTAAATAGCTAATCATAATAGTAGAAGCTTTGCCTAATGCTGGCCAGTGTACTACTAACTGCCACGATTGTGGAGGAAGAACAGCAGGGTACAAAGACCCTCAACAAAAAATTGAAGCTGGCCCTGAAAAAGAGCATTGGTGCAACATGAAAATAAGTAGTCAAGTTATTTTTAGGACCAGGGATTATGTCGGAATAAATGTTCTCTCTAGTCCGAACAGAGTGGCTTTTGCCGTCAGTTCTGGGACAGGATACTGGAAACCATCCAGTGTTGCTGAACTACAATTCCCAGCAGTCTTGGTCACTATGATTAATGGCATTGGAAAGATACAGGTAGTCCTTGACTTACGATCACAGTTGAGCCCGGATTTTATGTAGCTAAGTGAGTTTTGCCCCATTTTACAGCCTTTCTTGCCACAGTTGTTAAGGGAATCACTGCAGTTGTTAAATTAGTCACAAGGCTATTAAGTGAATCCGGCTTCCCCCATTGCAGGGGTCCCCAACCTTGGCAACTTTAAGACTTGCGGACTTCAACTCCCAGAATTCCTCAGCCAGCTGGGAGTTGAAGTCCACAAGTCTTAAAGTTGCCACGGTTGAGGACCCGTGCCCCATTTGCTTTTTGGTCACAAATGGTGATCACATGACCTGGGATGCTGCAACTGTCATAAAGACACTTACCAAGCACCTGAATTTTGATCATGTGGCAATTGTAAGTGCAAGAACCAGTCCTAAGTCGCCTTTTCCAGTGCCGTTGTAACTTTGAACAGCCACTGAATGAGTGGTGGTAAGTCAAGGACTAACCTTGTACAATGACCCTTTCCTGATGCTTTATTCTCTTTTATCGAAAGCACGTCCCGTGTTCATTTCCTGGCTCCTGCAGTTCTTGATCTACTTCTGTGGGGTAATACGTGAAACAATGGGGTGAGGTCGTGCGTGAAATTAACAAAAGATAAAAAAATATGTTGCCTGTAGACCAGAAGATCTATCTTCTGGCTATCTCCAACTTTGTGGTGCTAGAATTGTGAGTGGGTAGTAGCAGGGAAAGGGTGAGGGCTTGGGGTCACTCTAAAACAGTGTTTCTCAACCTTGGCGGTTTGAAGATGTGCGGACTTCAACTCCCAGAATCCCCCCAGCCAGCCTAGCTGGCTAGGGGATTCTGGGAGTTGAAGTCCACCCATTTTCAAACCGCCAAGGTTGAGAAACACTGCTCTAAAAGAAAGCCATTGTGTAATATCCCTTTCGTTGCAGTACATGTAAAATAGGTTGTTCCTGGTGCAAAGAGGAAAAACTCATCTTTTACCGGGCATATGTGTCCTATTTTTGCTGTGCAGCTTTCCCCATTTTGGGGGTTTTGCTGAAGTGGGTCAGGACCCAGCAGGATATTCACAGACTCTAATCAATCTTTCAGAAAGTGCTTTGTTATTGAGCCGTGGAGTGATTTTTCTATTGCTCTCTGTAATTCTCTGGGACCTAATTCTCCTGAACAATTGAGTAATGAGTCAGATACGGAAACTCTGCTCCCTTCTCCTCTTCTCCATTTTTTCCCCCCTTCATTTTTTGAAGATTCTGTGCTTCTACAACCATCCTCCCCACCCAAAATAACCCGGACCCGGTAAATTTCAGTTCAGATATTCTATTTAGAATAAAGTGCTACGGCGCAGAATGAAACTGGAGTTGAAGAGGTTTGAATTGGGGTCCTGCTGAGATATAAAAGAATTTCCTGGGTATTTTGACAGCTGTTAATACAGCAAGTGTCTATTATATTTCCGCCTATCCCCCGTTATCTCAGAAGCAATTTTAGGAATTAGGTTTATTTATTTCTTGTATCTATATCAGGGCTTTTCAACCCTTTTCACCCATTGTACCACTTTTAGGATAGGGCAATATCCGAGTACCACCAGTCGCCTAGCAAGGTGTCAAAAACTTGATGACCCCCCCCAAAAGGAAAAAAGTGATAAAGTACAGGTAGTCCTCGACTTACAACAGTTCACTTAGTGACTGTTCAAAGTTACATTGGCACTGAAAAAAGTGCCCCCCAAGGCACAGCTGAGCAAGACACCTGCCTGCCTGCCCGGCGGCGCTCTCATTCCCCTCCCCCGCTACCACTTTTCTAGGATGCTCGTGTACCACATGCCAGGTGCCAATGTACCACAGGTGGTACCCATACCACTGGTTGAAAAGCCCTGATCTATATAACTGTCCATCTCACAAATACGACTCTGGGTGGCGTACAATAAAAAATAGCCATAAAGAAACAGACATTAAAATATTCTATAATAAAAACACTCTATTGTTAAGTGCTACTAAAAGAGAGTGTAGGGATCCTTGAAATCCCCAAGTCTGTTGACACAACCATGTTTTGAGGCACAGTGGTTCTGAGAGGCACAGTGAGTACAAAAAACGATGAGTTACCAAGCAATTTTTTTCCCCATAAGGATTAATGTAGTGAGTCACAAGGCACCCGACATCGACAAGTTCTAGCTTGTGCGTTGAGTACCAAACAAATGATGGGTACCGGGACAAATGTTTTGTGTCAGAATGCGTTGAGTACCACATTCGATGAGTTTCAAAGCAGTTGAGTGCCAAGGTACCACTGTACTTCTGGAAGGATGTCAAGGACAGGGCCAATCTTACCTCAGAGAGAATGATGTTCCACAGGGTGTGCGCCACAGCAGAAAAAGCCCATCTCTTGTGTCCCGCTAGCTGTAGTTCCCTATAAGACAGGACACACAGCATCCTCTTCTGATGGCTCTGCAACACATTCACCTCTGCTATTTGTTTGTTTGTTTGTTTATTTCTCCGCCTTTATTATTTTTACAAATGACTCACGGCATTGAACATATCCAACACACCTTCCTCCTGTTTTCCCCAGGACAACAACAACCCTGTGAGGCTGCAAGAGAGGGACTGGCTCAAAGTCACCCAGCTGGCTATATTGGGAAGTGAGTGATAGGAGAAGCACCGTGCACAAGTGACATGTGTTTAAGCTGCAAACATGACAGACATATTCAAGCTAGGAGCCTAGATCAGGGCTTTTCAACCAGTGGTACGGGTACCACCTGTGGGGTACATACGCGACTATCCTAGAAAAGTGGTAGCGGGGGAGGGGAATGAGCTGAACCGGTGGCAGCACCGCACAAGCCTGAGCGAGAGATGGCTGGAGCTGCAGGGCTGTCAGGGCTCAGCGGAAGCACCAGGATCAGTGCCGCTTTCCAGCTGATCGGCGTTTCTTCGGGGCTCTCAGGGCTCAGTGGAAGCTCCAGGATCAGCGCCAGGCTCCAGCTGCAGCTCGGCACTGATCCTGGCGGTTCTGCTGAGCCCAGAAGAAGTGCCGATCAGCTGGAATGTTGCAGCCTCTCCAGGGTCTTGTGATTTACATTCAGATGCTTGGCAACCGATTCATATTTATGACGGTCACAGTGTCCCAGGGTCATGTGAAGTGACCAAAACCTGCTGCAACCACCCAGCAGACGGGGGGGAATAAAAACCAAACACCCCCCACTCCACTCCTGCTGCCAATCCTCAACAGAAATGCTCACAACAATGAAAACCTCGGACAGGAGGAAGAGCACCGCCGGGTGGGCAGGCAGGTGTCTTGCTCGGCTGTGGCTTGGGGCCATGTAACTTCAAACAGTCATTAAGCGAACTGTTGTAAGTTGAAGACTATCTGTACTTCATCACTTTTTTTCTTTCTTTTTTTTTTTTTTTTTGGTCATCAAGTTTTTGACACCTTGCTAGGCAACTGGTGGTACTCGGATGTTGCCATATCCTAAAAGTGGTACAATGGGTGAAAAGGTTGAAAAGCCCTGGCCTAGATGGTCTTGAATAAGGAGAAGAGTAGGCCGGAAACTCCTATAGAGAGTGGGATTGATGAAAAAGGGAATAGGAGAAACTAGGAAGATCATTTATGGCCAGTAGATCCTTCCCAAATCTATTTCAGTTTCTCAGACTTCAGTAAAATTGGGTTTTCTTTACGCTAAGGAATATTGTTTGAGGGTTTTTTTCAAAAAGCAGAACTGATGCCTTTTGAACTTCAACACCTGTGGATAATTAAACCCACATGGATCCTGATATACTTTATCAGGAAGCAGCCTTTCTCCCATAATTTGCATTAGGACCTAATGAGTGCGCAGTCCTTATTGATTATGGATGTAGGGTTTTTTGGCAAAATCTGTTCTGGATACTTACAAAGAGAAAGGATGCCCTTAAAATCTAGAAGCACAGGAGCAAGGAAGCCAGTGTGGTTTTGTGGTGAAGGGGTTGGAGCAGAAATCCTGCCTTGGAAACTTTGGGCTAGTCACTCTCTCTCAGACCCATCTAATTCTCAGGGATGTTGTTGAGAAAAATAAGTCTTGCACTTAAGATAGGAAACGCCTGCCAAGTGAAAATATTAAATATCACGAAATACTAGTACCCCTCAAAAGGAAAAGATAGAATTTGTGAAAGTGGTTTTGTGGAAGTTGAGATATTGCTATCAAAGCCAAGATGTACAAAAAACAACAACAATTAGGTTAGCGGGTGATGGATTTAGACCAGGGGTAGGCAACCTCGGCTCTTTTATGACTCGTGGACTTCAACTCCCAGAATTCCTGAGCCAGCCATACTGAGGGAAAAGGGAGAGGTTTCCAAGCTGAGCCATGCTGGCTCAGGAATTCTGGGAGTTGAAGTCCACGAGTCATAAAAGACCCAAGGTCGCCTACCCCTGCTCTAGACTAAATGTTTTTGAGACCAATTCTCGAATAGAGTTAGAATGTATCTCCCAATAGATTCCTATTGTTTCATGTTTTCTATTTTCTTTCTCTCTTCTTCTCCCATTCTCCCCTGCCCACCCAGAACTGGGATCTTGTACAGCAGACACAGAACTATCTGAAGCTTCTGATCTCCATTATCAATAGTGATGGTAAGGTTTGTTTTTTTTCCCTTCTGGTGAATTCGTGATTTGGGGGATTTTTGTAAGTGACTTGTAATTTTTAGTGATCATTAAAAAAAATAAGCAAGGAGATATAATTAGACAAAAATTGGGAAACCAACTGTGAAACTAACAGATTTAATTTATCAGAGGGTTTCTCTGCCACATGATTTGAGCTGTATATTGGTACATGGCCCGCTCTCTTTGTTTTTGTCATTCTAAAAGACTCTGTTATCTTCATCACTTTTCTACAGGATTCTGCAGGGTTAACTGAACCTCCAGGAAAACTCTGACTTTGTTTTTGCTGCCGTTTGAGATCTCTGTCCCCAAAATAAGTGCCAGAGAGATCCTTTACTTACTATCTATGCTACACAGATCAGGGCAGTATCTATTCCAGTGGTGGTGAACCTATGGCACGGGTGCCAGAGGCGGCACTCAGAGCCCTCTCTGTGGGCACGCGCGTCGTCGCCCCAGTCCTAGGCCTTCAGCTGGGTTTTATAAAACCTTTTCGCTTTAGGCCTCTGCCGCCGTGTGCAAAAAAAAAAAGTTCAATCAATCAGTCAATTTCAACTTCTCGCGGGGGGAAAAAAAGATCTTGAAAAGTTGGAATTGATTGAACTTTTTAGTCCCACCCAGTCTGCCGTTACCACCGCAGCCACACCCACCCAATGGGCCACGGCCACCCGGCACCTGACGATGCATAAGTGGGTTTTGGGTTGCAGTTTGGGCACTCGGTCTCTAAAAGGTTCGCCATCACTGATCTATTCTATTTTTAAAAAAAGAATTAACATTTGGCATATAGGAAGTCCTTGAGTTAAACCCGCAATAGGGACCACAGTTCGTGTTGCCAAGCAAATGTGGTCGTTAAATGAGTTATGCCTGATTTTATGATCCCTTTTTGCCACGGTCGTTAAGTTGAATCAATGTGGTCGTTAAGGGAATCCAGCTTCTCTCATTGACTTTGCTTGTTGGAAGGTGGGTGGGAAGGTTGCAAATGGAGACCCTGTGGCTTCGGGATGCTGCAACCTCCGTAAATATATGCCAGTTGTCAAATGCCTGAATTTTGATTACATGACATTACAGTGGTCATGAGGGTGAAGATCGGTTGTGAGTAATTTTTTTTCAGCACCCTTAGAACTTCAAGTGTGGCTAAATGAATGGTTGTAAGTCAAGAAGTATCTGTGTGTAAAAATAAGAGATATTTGTCTGGCTGAGGAATTCTGGGAGTCAAAGTCCACACAAATCTTAAAAAGTTGCCAAGGTTGGAGACCCCGCTGCATGGACCGCTTTGTTCAGTGATTGATTCAGTCAGTCTTTCGGGCTCAAGTATTGATTGATTGATAAGCTCATCCCCCCCCCCCAAACACAAAAAACAAAAAACAGGAAGGAAAGAAAGAAAGAATATGGCATTTGGGCATAGTATCTTAAAATCTTTAAAACAGCATCTTAAAATGCTTCCCGTGGCTTACTGAAAATGCAGAAAAGTTTAATTCTTTGGGAGAATCTGGTAGATTTGGGTTTTGAAGAGAAGGGCAGAAAGGAATTCCGAAAAACTATAGGAGGTGTTAACAGCTGAACCTAAGGTGAAGGATATGCAGCAGTGGTTTTGCATGTGATCCACTGCAGGCCTTTGGCTATTCCATATTCACTTCCAGATGGGAAGAAGACACCAGATGTTCTGCTTAAATCAGGGGTGTCAAACTCAATTTCATTGAGGGCCGCATCAGCATTACGGTTGCCCTCAGGGGGCCGGGTGGGTGTGGCCAGGATGGGTGCGGCCTACTGGGTGGGTGTGGATGGAGTGGGTGTGGCCTACTGGGTGGGCGTGGCCAGCTCTACATCGTTCGCGTCAAGGGTGCCTGTGGGGGCCTGGGCAGGACTGGGACAGATCTGAGGGTCTCTGGCAGAAGGGGGTGGGACCGGGGCAAGTGCCAAGGCATGGTCCACTGGAGGAGCCTCACTCTTCCTCTCAGGCCATGCGTGGGGGGGGGGCTTATGGAGCTAAGACTGAATGTGTTTCAGCATAGATGGCCACCACAAAATTGTACATTGGCTTCCGACCGGCCTAGGCCAGGGCCAAGGCAGAGGGGGCCGTTCCCTCACTGTTTCCAGGATGGCTTCGCGGGCCACATGAAACCACTTCACGGGCCGCATCCGGCCCCCGGGCCTTGTGTTTGACGTGTCCGGCTTAAATAAAAAGCGCAAGCACTCTTTGCACACTTTTACCCGATTGATACTGCGGCTAGCCTTCCTCCTGGACGATTTCTAATATTCCCCTTATCTGTTGTCCTCCAGCCTGCTGCAGCTCTTGCCTCCTCTGTCTGGCAGGATGCAGAGAAGGCTCTGCCTTGCGCAGCTGGCCTAGCATATGCCATGTTATCCCCCGGAGACCGCTGGAGGCCCCGGGGACAGTGGGAGGCTTTTCATCCAGAATGCCATACAAGTAACTCAGCTTTTTCCCTCCGCTGTTGCTTTTCCTTTCCTGCCGGCTTTGGCACAGATGATGGCGGGCTCCTGGTTCATTGTATATCCGGATGGGACAGGACGCCGCTTTTCATCTCTCTCCTGCGTCTCTCCCTGTGGGCTGTGAGTACCGATAAGCGCATTCCCGTATCCTGTAGCCAGCATGAATGGTGTAGCCAAGGTTTGGCGGGACGGTGGGTGGTGGTGAAAGTGGAGGTTTATTTACCTTCTAATATGGTTGGCGAGTTCAAGGCCCCTGCGGTTTTGTGGCGAGCCCTTTAAAAAAGGCCTGACTCTGCTGTAAGAAAACGCAGGATTGTTACATAAAAGGCAGGGGCTTACGGTAACTTGGGGCTAATTTGGGGACCCCAGAGCTCAAGTTCTATCCCTGCCCATCTCATTTCTCTGAACCAGTGTTTCTCAACCTTGGCAACTTTACGATGTGTGGACTTCAACTCCCCAAATTCTCCAGCTAGCAACGCTAGCTGGAGAATTCTGGGAGTTGAAGTCCACACATCATAAAGTTGCCAAGGTTGAGAAACACTGCAAGTCTGAACAGAAGCTGCTATTTTATTTACATTCCGCAGTACCCATGAACCAGTTGGGCTCACATAAACGAAATTTGCACGAATCTTTTTCCATTTGCATAATTTAACTTTTGCGTGTTGCGTTAAAAAAAAAAACCAACCAAAGAAGACTGAAATGGTGAGTCAAGAGGCCATCCTGAGGACTGAGGGAAAGTGCTTAATGATACCATTTTGGATCTATAAAAAAACTTCAAGTTTCTTTTTGAAATAAAACATTAAGCTCAGGAAGTCCCAGGGTTGACTGTTTGCTGCCGTGCAGTTTCTTGAAGAAGGCACAGCGCTAGAGGGACTATAAGAGATGGCTTCTTGAATGGGCTTTATTGGTTTGTTTAAGAAACCTTCCTGGTACACAAAGATCCTCAGACATTTTGGTGTTTTGATGTATACATAGGGAAGTGCAGAGCAGGGAATCGTTATAATGTTTACTGTATTCTCAGTCTTTCTTTCCTTAGGATGGGCTGATCCACACATCCCTGGAACCTGCAGAGATTCTTTACCTGACAGTGGCTTATGATTGGTTCTTCTTTGGGTAGGCATGCTGGGCCAGGCGGTAAATGGCGGTGGGAATAGCACAGGCATTGAGAAGCCTGATTTACGTAGCATTTTTAGTTGGTTTAAACTGGAGGCCTCCCCTGTTTTAACTTGCTATCTCCATTCCTCTTGATTAATCCTTTTTCAAAATCTCTGTCCCCAGGGTTTTTCTGCATTTGTCCTGCAGTCCTTTGGGGTGGGAGCTTGACTCACAGTCCTTGGGGTTGAATTCTACCTGAATTCTAGACATCCTGGTTAGTCTGCATACGTGCGGTGGGGCCTATCTTCACGACAGTTTGAAACATGCGTAGTCAACACCAAACTCTCTTCTTCCTCCTACAGGCACATGTTAGTGGATCGGCTCAGCAAAGGAGAGGAAGTAAGTGTGTTTAGAAATAGTGCCAGGTAACAATAGTGTCCATGTCACACTAAAGATGCCTTTTTTTTTTTTTTAGCATTTCCCAATCAGCAGAATAGGGAGAAGCTCAAATATATGTTTGATCTGAACTGGAACTGAGTCTGTCTAGTCCAGTGGTTCTCAACCTTTTTAATGCCGCGACCCCCAACCGGTCGTAAGTCGAGGACTAAACCGGTCGTAAGTCGAGGACTAAACCGGTCGTAAGTCGAGGACTAAACCGGTCGTAAGTCGAGGACTACCCAACCGGTCGTAAGTCGAGGACTTTCCCTGCCCGGGAGCGCCGCGCATGCGTGGTTCCGCCCCCTGCGCCNAGGCGTAGCTGGCAAGCGGCAGAGACGGAGCAGGCCGACCACCAGCTGGCCCAGCCCAAGGGAGGTAAGGCACCCGCCGGAAAAGGGGGAAAAAATGGCGGACAGCCTTGCTTGGCGACCCCCGTGAAATGGTCGATCGACCCCAAATGGGGTCCCGACCCACAGGTTGAGAACCACTGGTCTAGTCTAATGAAAAGAAAGACTAGGGGTGACACGATAGCATGTTCCAATATCTAAGGAGCTGACACAAAGAAGAGGGGATTAGCCTGTTCTCCGAAAGCACCTGAAGGCTGGACAAGAAATAACAGATGGAAACTTACCAAGGAGAGATCCAGCCTTAGAACTAAAGAGAAATTTCCTGACAGTGAGAACAATTAATCAGTGGAACAGCTTTCCTTCAAAAGGTATGGGTGCTCCAACATTGAAAGTTTTTAAGAGATTGGACAGTAATTGGTCTGAAATGGTATAGGGTCTCCTGCTTGAGCAGACGGTTGGATTTGGAGACCTCCAAGGTCCCTTCCATTCCCATTTGCAATGTATGGCTGTGAAAGTTGGACCATAAGAAAGGCTGAGCACCAAAGAATTGAGGCCTTTGAACTATGGGGCTGGAGAAGACTCCTGCGAGTCCCCTGGACTACAAAACAATCAAACCGGTCAGTCCTAGAGGAGATCAACCCTGACTGCTCTTTAGAAGGCCAGATCCTGAAATTGAAACTCAGGTACTTTGGCCACCTAATGAGAAGGAAGGATTCACTGGAGAAGAGCCTAATGCTGGGAAAGATTGAGGACAATAGAGAATGAGGTGGCTGGATGGAGTCACTGAAGCAGTAGGCGTGAGCTTAAATGGACTCGAGAAGATGATAGAGGACAGAAAGGCCTGGACAACGTTGTCCATGGGGTCGCGATGGGTCAGACACGACTTCGCAACTAACAACAACAACAAAGGTCCCTTCCAATTCTGTTATTCTGAATCTGAATCTGCACCTGAAGTTAACGGGAGTAAACAATATCTAGATTCTGGACTGAGAAAGCTGAATCTAAGAACCTCATTAGATCTTACCAAAAACCCACCATTGTGGCCAACCAGATATCTTTAGGAAGTTTCCAAGTGGATCTTAGGAGCAACAGTTCTCTTCCCTTTCAGGGAGAACTTAGACAGCCATGTGTTAAAAATGTCTTGCTTTGGATTCCTGAACTGAGCAAACAGTTGGTCTTGGCGGTCTAAAGGACCACTTCTAACTCTGGGCTTTGATGCACCCAGAGTTACGTTATGGTCTCCAGCAAGCAATATTTCATGTTATATTGCTGATGGACACGATAAACCCGATTATTAGCCCATCTACCCTGCCCTTCCCCTTGCATGTGATTGTATCTCAGCTTACTAAGCAGGGCACACGCAGAGTGTCTGTGTGATTTCATGCCACCGCCAGGCTTGTGGTCCCTTCTGTTCCAGTCTTGCAAGTGGGGATTAGGGGAGAGAGAAAAACAAACTGCCTCTGGCACAAGTGTCACAGTAGACTTGGCTTGTCCATCTGTGCCCTCTCTAATTTTGCCTTCTGCCACAGTCATGCTGTTTTTTTTATGAGACACTTAACACTTCCCTCCCCCCCTCCCTCTTTGCTGTGATTATACTGAGATACACAAGACTGAGCAAGTGAATGTACTAAAGCAGCCTTCTCTGACCTCGTGGCCTCCAGATATATTTGGAATACAGCCCTGGTAAAATTACCAGCTAGGGTGCCCCCAGAATTCATAGTTTAATTTAGGAGGGCACCAAGTTGAGGAAAAGTGGCTTAAGCTTGCTCCAACTTGGAGAAATTGCAAAATCCTGGAAGAATTATATTTCTATAAATCTATATTTTTTTATAGGTCAGAACTTGGCCATCCACTATCAACATGGCTTCCAAGGAATCCAGTTGATAGCCTGAGCTAATCTTTAGCCATAGGGATTTGGGGATTGTTTGAGTCATGGGTTTTCTTACACACCTCGCCTGATCCTCATAACTTTTAGCCAATTATCTGGGAACTCATAAAGTTGGAGAGCTGGAAAGAGCAATTTCCACATGTCCGTCAAACGGCAGTCTGCCATCTTCTTAAATAGTCAGTTCCATCTTGCATGCAGTACCGAGGGCAGGGCAGTGGGAGACTTAAGGTCTTGGAAGGGATGAATAGCGAGACACTTGGTGGGAGTGGCTGCCAGACCCCCAGGATCAGTGCTCTGCCAAAAATGAAGGAAGCCCTTGTTTAAATTGCAGGTAGTCCTCGACTTACAATAGTTCATTTAGTGCCCGTTCAAAATTAGAAAGGCACTGAAAAAAGTGACTTACAATCGTTTTTCACCCTTATCACTGTGGCAGCATCCCCGTGGTCACATGATCAAAATTTAGACCCGTGGCCACTGTATTTGTGACAATTGCAGTGTCCTAGAGTCATTTTGTGACCTTCTGACAGGCAAAGTCAAAGGGGAAGTCAGATTCACTTAACAACCGTGTTACTAATCTAACAACTGCAACGGTTCACTTAACAACTGTGGCAAGAAAAGCCGTAAAATGGGACAGAACTGACTTAACAACTACCTCACTTAGCGGTAGAAATTTTGGGCTCAATTGTCGAGCCCATATTGTCACAAGTCGAGAACTACCTGTATACGGCAGTTGACCTCTCCTCTCTTTTATCCCCCTTTTTTTTCCCTCTAGATTTTCTTTTTCTGCTTCGATTTTCTGAAGCACATAGCCTCCGAGGAGTTTTCTGCCGCTAAGCAGCTGAGGTAAGAGCTTGCGTTTGCAGCTGCCACCACAGAAGTAAGCAAGAAGGACTGAGAATATGGTTATTGTGCACGTTTCCTTTCTGCTGGAAAATAGAAACCCTGGTGTCCTGGCCCAGTTCATTTTAATTGATTTTTGCATTCAGAAACCCGCACAAATGGGGCCATACCACTTGGTCTAGAGCTATTTCTAGAAGTCCTACATTGGAGGGGAGGGGGGAGCACGACTTGAGTGCAAGTTAATCAACCGGCTGAGTTTAGTACACCAATCCCTTTTCAATGACACTGCCTGCAGTTAGGCCACCTGATGTCGGAGCTTAAGAATTACTCAGGTGGATCACACCAAGGGCCTATATTTAATTCAGGATTCCAACTTTCAGATAGCTCACAAGCAAGTTATCCTCTCATTTCCAGAACCCAGTCACAGCCTTTGACCCGTGAGGTTCCATTTTGAGCTGATACGGGTTTTATGCTATTGGCCTGTAATGCAAGAGGGGACACACATTTTAGACTTAGTGCCATAATCCGCAGCTAGCACAGTCATTGCTTGGAGACTGTGGGAGCTATAGTTGAAGATGTTTCAAAATAGTAGGTTGCGTGCCCCAGTTTGGTCAAGCGCAGGGGTAGGCAACCTTGGCTCTTTTATGACTCGTGGACTTCAACTCCCAGAATTCCTGAGCCAGCATGGCTCAGCTTTGAAACCTCTCCCTTTCCCCTCAGCATGGCTGGCTCAGGAATTCTGGGAGTTGAAGTCCACGAGCCATAAAAGGTTGCCTACCCCTGGTCTAGTGGTTAAGCACCAGGGTAGAAGCCAGGAGACTGAGTTCTAGTCCCACCTTAGGCACGAAACCCAGTTGAATGACTTTGGGCCTATCATTCTCTCCCAGTCCAACTCGCCTCACAGGGTCGTCATCGTTCTTGCGGGGAAAATCGGAGGAGGAAGAATTGTTAGTATATCCACTGCCCTGAGTTATTTATAAAAATACTAAAGGCAGGATTTAAAAAAAAAATGTAAAAATAATGTTAGCAGTTTCGGGAGATGAATTGGACTTAGTTTAAGTCCTCTCGTTGTGTCATGGTATGGCCTTGAGAGATAAGAAAGTGCCACAGGCAGCAGGATGGCTGTATAAAAGGCAGCTTGGCCTGGAATGTGGGGATGGCAAAAGTCTCAGAAAGGACCTGCTTAGTTTCTTAGGCTGTAAAGGTGACAGGGGAGAGATGTACTTCCAGACTCGCAAGATTTTGTTAACGTAACCTAACAGTAAAAGTAGAATCAGTTCATTTGGGCCTGTTTCCTGTCTGGATTACCTCTCAAGATTGAAAACTGTCTTGCCAGTCTCGAAATACTGTATCTTTCTCCCCCGTCACTTTTACCGCCCAAGAAGCTAGGGTGGGTCCTTAGACTTTTGCCATCTCTACATTCCTCTGTGGGCTTTTTATACTTCAGTTTCTCCTGGCTGTGGCGCTTCCCCCCCCCCCCCCCCCCCCCCCCCCCCCCCCCCCCCCCCCCNGCCCCCCCCCCCCCCCCCCCCGTCTTCCAAGGTCATTCCCACATACATATTACACATCGACTCTCATCCCTTTAAAATTTGGAAGAACTGGGAAAGAACCCATCACTCATATGCTCTCTCTCTCTTCACTTCTTTTGGTGCACATTGACTTGGCCAAATCATTTTTCATCATCTTTGTGTTTACTCCAAATAGGAAGTAAATCACTGCTTCAATCTGCAACAGATTTAAGTTAAAGTGGGTAGTTTGTTGCTCAGTGCCTTGTGGAAACCCAGCCTTGTTTTAATGCGTTGGGTGAACCGGCCCGTCCTATTAAACCATAACATGGCTTGCTTGTTTGTTTGTTAAGACAGAACACGGAAACCCAGATTTGGCATGTTGTGTAAACCCATCCATTAAATTACTTGCATGACAGGGAGAAGGTTGGTTCCTCCTCCTCTGAGCCATAGTTCAGAAGATCATAGTTTAGAAGATCATGTGAATGCAACTACTCTAAGCTGGATTTGTACTGCTATTTCAGGATCTGGATCTGGTGGGTTCTTGGTGCTTTCTGAGCTTGGTTGTCTCTTAATTGCAAACGTTTCATTACTCAGCTAATTAACAGCATCAGTGCAACCTTCATTACCCAGCAAACCCTGTCTTCCTTACACTGATGTTATTTAGCTGAGTAATAAAAACATCTGTAAGGAATAAAGCAAGCTCTGAGAGCCCCAGGAACCCAATTGTTCAACCCTGAGCTACAGATGTTCTCTGCTGTAGGATATGGAGCTGTTTTGAGTGTGACCTTCCCATTTCCTAACATCTTTCTTTCTGTCCCTGAAGGAAGAGTCTGCCACCTGGATTCACTCTGGAAGAAATCTGTATGCTAAGTGAGTCTCTGTTTCTACCTTTACACTAGGCCAGTGATGGCGGACTTTAGAGACTGAGTGCCCCAAAACTGTATTGCCCCCTGGCCCGCCCCCGCTCCGTCCCCCGTCCCACCCCCACACCCTGCTCTGCCCCCACTCTGCCCTGCCCCGCCACCCACCGCCTCCACGGCCTGCCGCAGCAGATCACCCAGGGGCCCAGCAGTGCCATGGCGGCCACATCCTCCGCCCATGCCCCGCCGCATCAACTGCGCGTGACGAGGTATGAGGGCGGAGTCTTGTCCCTGCTGCCCGGCTGCCATGTGCTTGGCTGCGCTGCTCCGCATGGGCCACGCCTGGGGGCAACTCTCCTCCGGAGGGCTGCTGGTGAGGAGGGAGAGGTGGGGCTGGGGCGACGCCGTGCGTGCCCACAGAGAGGGCTCCGAGTGCCGCCTTTGGGACACGTGCCATAGGTTTACCACCACTGCACTAGGCCGTTAATCTGAGCTAGGATTATCTTTCTGTCAGCTTTTGGGGTGGTAACTCTTGACTCTTCCAAAGGATTTAGGGAAGCCACGAAGGACACACAGAATTGGTAAAATCAGCTGAGCACATTTTGGTCCATCAAAATCTAGAGAAGGTAGCTTGTAGCAGATAGTACAGAATATAAAGATAGAAAGCAGAACCCAGCACACAACGTGCCAGTGGAGAAAGCACCTCTTTTGGTGTCCCCACGGACCTCCCCATCATACTCCACCCTGTGTCCTTCCAGATATTTGTGTCCTTCCAGATGTTCTGTTTCTCCCATCAGCCAGTCTTCTGTGACTTCTGAGCCCACTCAGTCTGAAGCGTGCTATCTGTGATATAGTTTTGAGGCTTCCACTACTGATCTTCCTGTACATGGATGTGCCCTTCTGGCTAGATAACACCGATACATTTCTCTGAACATCAGGAAAGGAAAGAGAGATAACACAGTCGCATTTTCAACAGGGGTTTCCACGATGGTCTGCTTCAGCGGAGGGTCATATTTACATCTCGAAGGATCAACGTGTTTGTTGATTCTCTGAGGAGTAGCCAGCTTTTAAATCCCCAGTCTCTTGCTACTTTGTCTGGAAGATGTTCTGCTGCTGCCAAATGTGACAACCACCACTCAGTTTGAGTTCCTAAAGACTACCACCGTTCACTGCACACACCATTGTCCCATATCAGCCCCTTTGGAGGCATGTGACAGATAATGATAAGCTGCAGGAGCCAGACCGGTGACTTCCAATGAGAGGGGAATGGAATAAAGAGTCAGTGTGTCTTCCAGTATCTCAGAAGCCCTGATACAAAGCAAGAACAATAATGTCAATGTGTCTCTCTGCTCAAAATGTATTTCTTGAACAGTTTTTGTTGTGCAGGACAGAGAGTTGTCTTGCCTTCTGGCCACTAGCTTTTCCAAATCCTGCTTCTATTTTATGGGAGAGGATTGGTAAGAGGCAGAAGGCTGCTGGTCTTGGCATAGGCTCCTCTCAGCCAGCTAGCAACCTTGGTCTTGCCACCCCCAGCCAGCACCAGTTGGCAGATCCTGTCCACTGAACATGACATGGTCTCTTTTCTGGAGAAGCCTTGTGCTCAGTTCTGCAGATGGCACTGCTCAATTTTGAAACACATCACTTAGCTGTCATCTCGACTATCTCCCAACCAGCAATTAAAATAAATAGCGTAGGAGTCCTTTTTAATTCTGCTTGCTTTCTTCAACCACTTCTAAAAAAGAGTCTATTTCTGGACAATCCAAATTTAGGATATTGTATACACTGGCAAGAAAAGCCAATTTCTATACACACAAACTAGCTCTAACCTGATTGTGAACATTCTTGTTGGTACAGGGACATAAGTAATGCAAAACACACTGGTTCCCATTTATGTTGTTGAAATGCTACATCTACATTCCCCCCACCCTGCCAACCCCCCCCCAACTCTGACTTTTTTAGGGTAATTGCTCACCGACCCTTCAAGCTTGCCTCCGAAGTTTAAATCCTGTTTTTTAAAAAACCAAAAAACCCAATAACCCTTAATTATCCATTGTATATTTTTGTACTCACTGATGTACTTTCATGTGAAATCTAGTGAAATAACTGTTGTATGGAGGGGATAGAACAGGCTGAATTACAGACAATCATAGATGTGCTGCGTGTTAAAAAAAACTGCACTTAACACTCTGTGTCTAGTGTAAAACTGTACAGGTAAATCCCTGTTTAACAACCACTTGTTCAGTGACCATTCAAAGTTACTATCGTGGTGAATGTGTGGAACTTAACTCCTACTTGTTTGATTTAGCACTTTGTGTGACTCCAGCAAGTTTTGTTTTATTCCAAGTAAACATCCTTAAACAAGACATAATTTACTATGATCTGCGTGTCTTTTGCTGCTGGGGCTGTTGAGAAAAGTTAGAGCCAGAATATCTTTGGTGATCTATTTCCAGATGTCCGCCTGCAGAAACTTTAAACCATCTCTAGTCTGCAGTATGGGCAGTTTCTGTCTGGAATCTATGAATGCATGCTTCACTTTTCTCTTTGGAAATGTGTCAATGAGGACATCACCATTCTTCAGGAGGGCACGGAAATGATCAACCACTCTGACTCTGGATGCTTTTGTGTGTTACAGAGCAGAGGGACCGGGGCAGCACCACCAGTCTGAGCAGCGACTTTTCTCTTATGATGGAGAATTCACCTGGAGCTGCAGGGAGTTTCTCTTACGATGCTGTGGAGTTGATGCTAACAGGACCTCAAGCTTCTTGGTCAGCACCTATATACAAACTTTCTGCTGTGGGAAATCTGTATGTCCTTAAGATGAATCGCTCTACAATAGTGGCCAAAATTGTGGAAACCTTTTGGGAAATTACATTCTTGATTAAATTATCTTTCCATTTATATATAATTTTATGGTACTACTCTCCCCCAAAAGTGGTGTTATTAGCCATCAAACCTCAAAAATACACTTTTCCCAAAAGGTTTCCACAGTTTTGGCCACTACTATATATATTGTCCAGAAAGCAGAATGATGAACGTCTGGGAAGTTTTTCAGCAACCTAATTTAGCAAAGGGAGGTGGAAAGAGAGAATACTTTCAGCAGCTTCCCCCCTTCCCCCGTGTGGGTGTTGCCGTTAAATAGTTAAATAACAACTAAATAATTGCTGCTATATAATAATATTGTACAAATATCTACATTATTTTCTTCTTCTTGTTGTGCCATATCCGTTATCGGACGTTGGTGATCATGTTGGCACATTCTTAATTTAGTGGCATGGGCCCTGGTGGTGCAGTGGTTAGAGTGCAGTATTACAGGTTAACTTTGCCCATAGTCTGGAGTTCGATTCTGACGGGCTCGAGGTTGACTCGGCTTTCCATCCTTCCGAGATCGGTAAAACGAAGACCCAGATTGTTGGGGCCAATAGGCTGACACTGCAGACTGCTCAGAGCAGTGTTTCTCAACCTTGACAATTTTAAGGCATGTGGACTTCAACTCCCAGAATTCCACAGCCAGCAATGCTGGCTGTGGAATTCTGGGAGTTGAAGTCCACATGCCTTAAAATTGTCAAGGTTGAGAAACACTGGCTCAGAGAGTGCTGTAAAGAACTATGGGGCAGTGTACAAATCTAAGTGCTACTGCTAAGTTGCTTCCACATAGTGCTAAGTTGCTTCCTACAGTCTGATCCAGTCATAATGTATGAAAATTGCTGGCATGGTTTTGTACTAGTGTCAGTGCTGCTAACATTGGATGTTCTTGCTTTGACAATATATGGAGATGCAACCTTTTTCTTTCTTATGCTTCACACTTAGAATTAGATGTGCTGGGGGAGGGAGAGAAATGTGATGGGAGTTAGTTAGACATAACAATATCGTAATAATAAGAGATGTTAAAGGCATGGCGGGAGAAATAACTGGGCGGAAAGCCAGCATTTCAAACTAATTGGAGAATGTGATTTATGACAGTTAGTTGTAGGAGGGAATTGTGCTTTGATCTATGTGCTGAGGGGAGGAGAAGTCAGATCTTGGCTTGGACTATGTAAGTGCCAACCGTGTTCGAGTAAAGATTCTTTAAGGTAAACAATGCCTCAAAGTTCTTTGAAGAGTTTCGTATGTCGGAACCATAACAGCTAGTTTGTGAGAGCAAATTGTGGAAAGTGTAGTGTAAGTTGGTGAAATAATCTTTCAGTGAGGAAAGCGATTCGGAATCTCTTTCCAAAACCACCTTCAGGCTCGGCTCATTTGCCTCGTTGCTTTATTTATTGCGCCCCGTGGGCTCTTCCAAAATGTTAAGCGTGGCTGTTGGCCACCAAAAGGAAGCCCATTCACAATCTAAGTGATCATTCAATGCTCTAAGGCAGGGCTTTTCAACCTTTTTACCCATTGTACCACTTTTAGGATATGGCAACATCCGAGTACCACCAGTCGCCTAGCAAGGTGTCAAAAACTTGATAACTCCCCCCAAAAAAGGAAAAAAAGTGATAAAGTACAGATAGCCCTTGACTTACAACAGTTCGCTTAGTGACTGTTCGAAGTTACAATGGCACTGAAAAAAGTGCCCCCCAAGCCACAGCCGAGCAAGACACCTGCCTGCCCACCCCGCGGCACTCTTCCTCCTGTCTGAGGTTTTCATTGTTGTGAGCATTTCTGTTGAGGATTGGCAGCAGGGGTGGGGTGGGGGGAGTGTTTGTTTTTTATTCCTCCTGTCTGCTGGGTGGTTGCAGCAGGTTTTGGTCACTTCACATGACCCTGGGACACTGTGACTGTCATAAATATGAATCAGTTGCCAAGCATCTGAATGTAAATCACAAGACCCTGGAGATGCTGCAACATTCCAGCTGATCGGCGCTTCTTCTGGGCTCAGCAGAAGCGCCAGGATCAGTGCCGAGCTCCAGCTGGAGCCTGGCACTGATCCTGGCACTTCCACTGAGCCCTGACAGCCCTGCAGCTCCAGCCATCTCTCGCTCAGGCTTGTGCGGTGCTGCCATCGGTTCAGCTCATTCTCCTCCCCCGCTACCACTTTTCTAGGATGGTCGCGTACCACCTGCCAGGTGCCAATGTACCACAGGTGGTACCCCTACCACAGGTTAAAAAGCCCTGCTCTAAGGGGCCCTTCAGTTTTCACTGAGGAGCAGGAGGAGGCTCCTGTTTGAATGATCCCGAACCTCCCTTCAAGGCTGGGTTAGACCTTTGGGGCTGAAAATGGCTCTCCTGAAACCCCCTCAAAGTTCATCTGATGCTCTTGATGCTCTGTGGCATGGCCAGGGAGAGGCTCCTCGCTGTCCTTGGAAAATGGATGCCAGTGTGGGTAGTCAGTGCTGAGCTTGACGTTCTCACGGCTGTGGTGAAGCAGCTTTCCGTATTTCGGTACAGAAGTACTTCTTCAATCTGCAAAAGTTTTTTTGCCCAGGCATGTAATAAATATATACAGCACAACTGCACCATGTTGTGTGGTATTCTTGGCTGCAATATGTATTTTGCCAGTTCCATTTGGGGGTTCTGTTCTCCCTGCTTTCTTTGGCTTGACTTTGGGAACCCGAGGGAGGATCCGAGGGGCGGGCGAGTCCTCCGGCGTGACAGGCAGGAGCAGAGAAAGAGAGAGGCTGGGGATTCCAGAACCTTGCTGCAGGCTTTCCCTGTTCCCTTTAATTTGTCTTTCTTCTCCCCAAGCATGTGTGCTAATGATATTTTACAGGGCAATTATTCTGAGCTAAATCTGGGCTGCACTGAGAAGCCAGTGGAAGTCCTCTGGGTAGCCGTAAATTCTCAGCTTGCTGTTGTCACGCTTTACCACATAAAGTATGTGTCTGTGGGGGAGAAACCTAAATCTGTTCCTGGCAGGGGCATTCTAGAAAGGCTGCCCTTGCTATAAGTCTGTCCTGTACCGTATAGAACAGTGAGGGCGAACCTTTTAGACACCGAGTGCCCAAATCGCAACCCAAAACCCACTTATGTATCATCGGGTGCCGGGTGGGCATGGCCCACTGGGTGGATGTGGCCCATTGGGTGGGCATGGCCCATTGGGTGAGCGTGGCTGTGGTGGTAACGGCAGACTGGGTGGGACTAAAAAGTTCAATCAATCAATTCCAACTTTGCAAGATCTTTTTTTTTCCCGCGAGAAGTTGAAATTGATTGATTGATTGGACCTTTTTTTTTTTTTGCACACGGCGGCAGAGGCCTAAAGCGAAAAGGTTTTATAAAACCCAGCTGAAGGCCTAGGACTGGGGCAATGGTGCGTGTGCCCACAGAGAGGGCTCTGCGTGCCACAGGTTCGCCATCACGGGTATAGAAGCTATATGCACAACAGAAGTAAGAGCCGATGATGAAAACCTGAACCAACAGGAGGGCAGGCAAACCATTCGAAGCTGAATGTTGTTGTTCTGAGTTGGACTGCAAGACCAAGCAAAAGAATAGACATTCCATAACCGGAAGAACAAATTATTTTACCAAAAGTATAGAATGAGATAAACTTGTCTAAAGTGGTTGCCCTATTTACCTTATTTAAGCCTTTGAATCTCAGTTCAAAGCCACTGGTTCAGATACACAGGTCAAACAGGAGCCCTGAGTTTAGATAGCCTTTCAGCTATTGTCTAGATCAGTGGTTCTCAACCTTTTTAATGCCGCGACCCCCAACCAGTCGTAAGTCGAGGCCTAAACCGGTCGTAAGTCGAGGACTAAACCGGTCGTAAGTCGAGGACTACCCAACCGGTCGTAAGTCGAGAACTTTCCCTGCCCGGGAGCGCCGCGCATGCGTGGTTCTGCCCCCTGCGCCGACCGAGGCGTAGCTGGCAAGCGGCAGAGACGGAGCAGGCCGACCACCAGCTGGCCCAGCCCAAGGGAGGTAAGGCACCCGCCGGAAAAGGGGAAAAAAAATGGCGGACAGCCTTGCTTGGCAACCCCCGTGAAATGGTCGATCGACCCCAAATGGGGTCGCGACCCATAGGTTGAGAACCGCTGGTATAGAATGAGATAAACTTGTCTAAAGTGGTTGCCCTATTTGCCTTATTTAAACCTTTGAATCTCGGTTCAAAGCCACTTGTTCAGATACACAGCCCTGAGTTTAGACAGCCTTTCAGCTATTGTCTAGATTACTTCAGAGAGGATGTCTGCAATTCTCTTCGGTGGCATGCCTTATTTTTCCTTGTTTTGTTTCACCCTGTTTCTAGCACAGGCACAGTGTCCAGTAGAAGGAAGAATTTGCTGGCAAGGAGCTGAAAATAAGTCAGTTTTCTAAGAATAGCAAAGAAACAAGTTTAAAATGAGACAGAGGTTAGGGATTATCATGAGATAGGCTTAAGGTTTAAAATTTACAAAGCCATCCTTATTTGTCAACCTAAAGGGCATTTTTGAATAGATATTTTGTATGTTTCTCCTTTAAAATAAGAACGCTGGAATCAAATTCTTTAAAAGGAAGGCAGAACAGGTTTTTTTGTTTTTTTTTTGAGGGTAGAAACCATCCAACTGAGATAAAGGTCAGAGCCCTCCATTCAAAATGAAGCTGTCACTTCACAATGATTTAAATACTTGCGCTGTCCGTCTTGCATTGCGAAGTTGTCGTGAATTAGGGGGGGGGGGGAAATGTCTTAAAAATGGGCTCAAATGATGTGTGCTTGAGTAAGGTGACACAAACTGGTTGGGAAGAAAATGAGACCCGTTTTTAAAAGGTATTCCGGGTCTTTCTCCCTCAGTGTCCTTTCTAACCAGAGCTGGGATGACTGCACAAATCGGAAGGGGCTCTGTTCATTTTGGAACAGCCTCTCTCCTTTTAATTGCACCTCATCTCTGGCGGCTTGCTTGAGTGCCGGTAGCTGAGCTATTAAGCACTTCATCAAATCTCAGCCTTGTACCTGCCAGAGTCAGAAGGAAAGCGGTGGTAGGGAGATTTCTGAAAGCTTGGGGCTGCTGTCATGTGTGAGAGAAAGAATGGCTGAGGATTTTCCAAGGAAATCCTGGGGATTGAGGAGAGTCCTTATTAACATACAGGGGCCAGGGGTAGTAAATAAGCCAGGCCTCTGATAATTGCTTCGCAAGCATCTGGGAATTCAGAAATGGCTGGATGGGGAGTGGAGGAGAAAGAAAGGCAGACAAATGTGGAGCTTCAAAGGGAGGCTGTGGCAGGTTCAGATCCTTTGAGCATCAAAAGCTGATTAGTATAGTTGAAGAGCCACAGCACTTCTTTGGTTGCAAGTCTAGTTGAATTGTGTGTGGCTTTGCTGGTTCCGAAAGGGAGAGCCATCCCTGAAGTTGTTTTAGTAATTAGAGCCTGTGGAAGGAAGCTGTCCTTGTGGAATGGATATAGCTCATTTCCAGGCTGGTCAAAGCCATATAAAGGCTGTTCTATCATATTGATGAACATCCGAATATCTAAAAACATGTATTTATTTATTAAAATTGTTCACGTACTCTTATCCTTTTCCAAAATTGGAGATTTTTGAAGGATCTCCCATCAGTTTGAGTAATAGAGAGGGAAGAGAGACAGAAAGAAGCTTCTGGATAACTGGCACTGAGGAACTTAAATCACGAAGGTGACAGATTACAGAAGAGGCCATGTAGAGGGTATGGAGATGTCTCCTGTGGATATTCAAGAAACTCAACTCTGTCAAGTGCTGAGTTAGCAACTCAACTTGCATGACGTGCTAGACCAGGGGTCTTCAAACCTGGCCCTTTTATGACTTGTGGACTTCAGCTCCCAGAATTCCTCAGCCAGCGTGCCTGGCTGAGGAATTCTGGGAGTTGAAGTCCACAAGTCATAAAAGGGCCAGGTTTGAAGACCCCTGTACTAGACTTTGCTAAGAAATATGAACTATGAATTCCAATAGTAATGGGAAGAAGCTGGTTATCTTGGGAGTCTGTCAAGTGTGCAAGTGTTTGAAAACTTGTGCAGGTCTCTAAACTGTTGGTGGAGCAAAGATAATATTGTAACTGACAAAGTCTGCTGTTGTAAAAGTTGCCCATTTCTGAGGTAACTTAGAGAAATACTTATCTTAGGCTTGCCTTTCCCTTTTGTGATATGGAGACTGTCCTATATGAAACCTCTGAATATTGAACAAAAGGATGGTAGGAATAATACTGTGTCACATAGTTACATCTTTATTTTGGAGTCCTCCTGGCTATGAATAATGTTTAAGTTCCTAATTGTGATTTGTATGTGAAGATCCTCCTTTCAGTTATTCCATTGCTGCCAGATCTTTAATTATTAGATTGGCCACCTGTTTTTCTGTGCTGTACGTTTAAAACAGGTTAGTAACTTTAACTTTATTGCTTCCAGTCTATTACTAAATTTCAGGAAAAAATTCCCTTAACACTGATTGAAAATAATTCTGAAGTCTGAGGAACTTAACTTTATAAGTTTTTCAAAAGGCATAAGGCATGCCACTGGTGTAAAGGCAGAGTCAGACCCATCTGAGTAAAGTTCCCCAAGTGGACCAGGCATCAAATAAATAATGTTGTTCCTTTGCAGGAGGAAAAACTGTGCGTCGTCCCCTCAGGCTGTCCTGTGGAATCGGACGCAGCAACCCGAAGACAGGCTGCCCATCCAGGGCACTCTTGACGCAAGGTCCTCCAGCTCCTCTTCTTCCAATCATTCAGAGAACTTCTCCAGGCTAGGCAGCAGTCCGCTCGAAGTCCCCAAGACCAGGTGAGATGCAGTCATTCCTGTCAGTTACTGGGAAGGGGAGGATGGGACTTGGCAGTAGCTAGCAAGCACAGGTTTGAGTAGGGCTCCTACTGGGCACAGAGGAAATCCCTGACCCCTGTTGGAAAAAAAAAATGCGTTTGGAAGAAATCTGTCAGGTAGATGCGTGCAAATGGTTGGCAGAGAATCTTCTGGAAGCATTTCAAGGAACTTTCTAGAGAAAAAAAAATCCGGCATGAGCTTTTTTGCCTCCTGCAGTAGAAAAGCATAATTACAGTAGCAATTTACTGCTTTTCAGCTACACCTGGCTTCTGCCACCTGAGAGGCTTGTTCTTGCTGCCATAAATAGAGGCTTGGCTGACACCGGGAAAGTGGAGATAAGGCTCTAAATTTAATGGTTGGCATCTAGAGTCTGGGGGGTTGGTTGGAGAATGTCACCACTTCAGAGGAACAAGGAGCTGTAATGAACTGAATCTGGGACAGCTAAAAGATTCCGCTCGGCTCTCTTTTCTGGTTCTGATGATTTCGTGTCTACAATCTATAGGCTTGTGCCCACGGCTTTCCGGTTGAAAAAAGAAATGTAATCATCAACATGAAACAATGCTGAAATTTGTAGGATGCAAAGTTCCATATCCAGATTTCAAGGGACATGGAGATATGGAGCATTACTTGCAAACATAGACATCTTAAGGAGCCTGTAGAAAGGCAGTGTGTGCATGTGTGGTCCTTCTTAGACCCCCTAAAAAGGATGCACTTAGCGAATTTACATAGCTAGGAGGGGATTCATACAAGTGAAAATTACTCACTAGAATTGCAATTTAAAGTCTGATGGGAAGGGAAAGAATGCCCCACCCATCTAGGTGGATGCAGTACAGCAGCACAAGGCTAGTTTGACTATAATACAGGTAAAATTGCAAAATCTGATGACGATTTTGTCTTTTCGGCCAAGTAAGTCTTCTGCTGCTATTTCTTGTTGGTCAGAGTCTTCAACCTATCAGAGATGTATTTAAAACACCGGAGCAGAGTTCAGTTTTGTCAAGGGAGAAGCCAAAATTACACAGTATTTGTAATAGTCCTAGATCAGTGATGGCGAACCTTTTAGAGACCGAGTGCCCAAACTGCAACCCAAAACCCACTTATTTATCGTTGGGTGCCAGGTGGACGTGGCCCATTGTGTGGGCGTGGTCCATTGTGTGGGATGGCCCATTGTGTGGGCATGGCTTCAGTGGTAATGGCAGACTGAGTGGGATTAAAAAGTTCAATCAATCAATTCCAACTTTGCGAGATCTTTTTTTTCCTGCGAGAAGTTGAAATTGATTGATTGAACTTTTTTTTTTTGCACACGGCGGCGGAGGCCTAAAGTGAAAAGGTGTCACTGGTGTGATGGCTCGTGTTCCCGCAGAGAGGGCTCTGCATGCCACCTGTGGCACGCGTGCCATAGGTTCGCCACCACGGTCCTAGATCATAGGAAAGATGACAGTGGGACAAGCCAAAATGAAAACATGCTCAGGTTGTTTTCATTTGAAAAGAAAGATTTTGGGGGGAGATCCTCAGCAGGATTTTCTTCTTGGAATTAGCTCCCCTTTTTAGGGAACTATTAAACTACAGCAATGTGTCCTAGATTATTATTATTATTTTTTTGCAGAAATTCAGATATGCATTTTTGGCCGGTTTGGATTCGAAATGTTGTGTCCTGTTTTATGTGGCAGAGTTTGGTATTCAGGTTTTTATTTCAGCTTGAATTGTTTGTTGCCTAGAAGCCTGTTCAGATTCGATGTAATAAATACTTAAATAAACGCTGAGTGCTCTCAAATCCTTTATATATATAAAAAAATCTTTCTTCTCTTTTCCAAGAGGAAGAACTAAGCCTGGATGCTTGTATTCCAACTAGTAACTGCTGAATAGGATGGAGGAAAAATTCTGCTTCAGAGCCAAGCATGTTTGTAAAGCAGGGGGTCTTCAAACTTGGCCCTTTTATGACTCGTGGACTTCAACTCCCAGAATTCTGGGAGGCTGGGAAATTTGGGGAATTGAAGTCAGCTATGGGAAAAGAGAGAAAAAAACTAACTGGCTTTGATCCCATTTCCCGCCAAAAGGATGTCTCTTCTGTTACATGAGGCAGAGGGGCAGACGAGGCATGGCTGTCTGTTTCTGAAGGCTGGAGTGATGTTTAATTGAAGCCAAAGAAACATATCAAGTATTTAAGCTGGCAGGTATATGCATCCTTGCACTCCTTTGGCCCCGAAGCTGTGAAGGAGTGAAATCAAATGGCATCACTCAGTACTGCCCTGTTGAAGGGGTTGTCTCGTTTCCTACGGAAACTGCAGCAAAGGATGAAAGGAATTGAGGGCTGGGAAGACCGCGCCGTTCCTATTTGGGTGTTCCGTTCAACTGCAGTGAAAGAAATGCTTAAAAAAAAAAAAATGCAGGCAGTCCTCAGCTTACCACCACAATGGAGCCTGCCAGTTACAGTTGCACGTTTGGACGGTCATAAAGTAGGTTCACTCGTGTGACCCATCCGATTTTACGACCTTTTGGTGACGTTTGTTAAGCGAACCCATTGTAAATACCGTTTTTGGCAAAAACGTCATAAATCGCAGTCATAGGATCCTGCAAAGCAGCCACAAATGTATTTGAAATGCAGTCATGTGATTGCTGGGGGGGGGCTGTCATAACTTCAGTTCATAAGTACCTTTGGGGGGGATGGATGTCATAACTTCAACTTGTCATTTAAGTGACCACTCGTAAGTCAAGGATGACCTATAGCAATCTGTCTGCTACCCTACCTAATCAACATGGCCCATGGTAGAAAAAATAAAATGAGTTGTAATAGCTTATGTATCCACAAATATGTTGTTAGTAGCGAAGTCGTGTCCGACCCATCGCGACCCCATGGACCACGTTCCTCCAGGCCTTCCTGTCCTCTACCATCTTCTGGAGTCCATTTAAGCTCACGCCTACTGCTCCATCCAGCCACCTCATTCTCTGTCGTCCCCTTCTTCTATTGCCCTCAGTCTTTCCCAGCATTAGGCTCTTCTCCAGTGAGTCCACAAATATACGGCTAATTAATTTGTGTCTTAATGGCGTGAAGAACTTTTGCACTTTGTGGAGCTGTCCGTGGTATTTAACCCTCTTGCATTGGGATGCACTTTGTGGATGTATTTATTTATTTATTTTAAAGTAAGATCTAAAGTGATCTTGCACCTCATGGCCAATCTGGATGTTTTATTTTTTTAATGTTGCGTGTTGTTCCCAAGGCTGTACAAGCTGCTTTGACTCCAAAGCCAGCTTAAATTCTATATTAGTAATATTCTTCAAAAAGCAAAGATGATGCTCAGGACGGGTTTTAGGATAAAAATATGCCTGAAAGTCCTTTTAAGTGTTTCGTTAATCAGACACATGACATCAGCAGGATTAATGATGTTTAAGACTCGCATAAGTGGTTAGCAAATTGTTCAAGCTGCATCTGGAAGCATTCCCCCCCCCAAGCATTCCCCCCCCCAAACAAAAATAATAATAAACTCACGGGCAGTTTTGTAATAATTTTGAGAATGCAGGTAGTCCTTGACATGACCACAGTTGAATCCAACATTTCTATTGCTAAACGAGACAGTTAAGTGAGTTTTGCTTTTGCTCCATTTTACAACCTTTTTTTTGCCACAGTTGGCAAGTGACTCATTGCAGTTGTTAAGTTAATAAAACAGTTTGTAAAGTGAACCTGGCTTCCCCATTGACTTCTGCTTGTCAGATGATCGCAAAAGGACACTGCAACCGTCATAAATATGAGGCAGTTGCCAAGCATCCGAATTTTGATGACGGGACCGTTGGGGACGTTGTAACAGTCATCATTGTGAAAAACGGTCATAAGTCACTTTTTCCAGTGTCGTTGTAACGTTGAGCAGTCACTAAATGAACTGTTGTAAGTCGAGGACTATCTGTACCGTTCCAGAAGTTTGGAAAGGACTGTTGGGTGGAGTGCTGGTGTCTTCCCCAGAACGTCAAAGTGTTGTATTTCGTAACGCTTATATTTGTCTGTTCTTTACATGAATTCTGATCCAATCCAAAAGAAACCGAAACTTTAGCTTGACAAAAAGAATTACAGCTTTGTAAATTTGCAAAAAAAAAAAAAATTGTGAAGGAACAGCACTTTCACTTTCAGGCATGTTATCTTCCCTCTTTTCTCCCTTTTGCCCAATTTACCTTAAATTTACCTTAAAACTGAATTCTGATCCAGATCTGCTGACAGGTTTACATTGATGAGCTAGGATGATTCCCACCAGGGTTTGAGAGGTTAATTAATACAGGTAAGTCTTTGTTTAGTGACTACAATTGGGACCGGCAACTTGGTCGTTAAGCAAAGCGTATGATCTTATTTCAGTTTTCCGTTCGGGTTGTAAAATTATTTTCATCACCACTGTAACTGTTTGAATGGTGTCTAAATGAGGCAGTCACTAAAGTGAGGCAGTCACTAAAGGGAGGCAGACTACCTGTATACTTCTTGCCCATCTCAATCCCTGCTGTAGCTGGAATTTTTTAAGCTTCTGCCCACTGAATGGAAATTCTTGTTCCTATGTTTCACCTCTATTTCAACCTATGAGTTAGGCTGGACTGAGGGAGAGTGAATGACTTATTATAGCACCCAGTTAAGATCCACAAATCAATGTGCATTTGAATCTGGGTCTTTCTGGACTTAATTCAACATCGTAATCAACCTACCACTAGGTTAGCTAAAAGTTTAAAGTTATCTGAGCATTGCCATAACTTGGGCAAATCTATTATATGTCTGAGATAAGCTAATGTCTATTGCTGTAAATGTGACAAAGCAGCTTCTTGTGCCTGGTTTGGGGTGCAAGACTCTTGGATCTGAGCTATTGTGAGCTTGCAATTATGCCCCGAGCCAGGTAATACATGCTGTAACATGTCAGCAAAGTGATTTTGCTTGAAAATTTCTACTGCCTGCCCCAAGTGGTGTTTGATTGCAGGTTGTATTTTTAGGGTCTGTA